ACATCATTAATATAGATAAGGACATGAAATTAGGAGGTGAATCTAGTAGTAGTTCTCAATCTTAGTAAATATTATATTCAGTGAGGGTGATTAATGGTGTAATAAGTAGCAAATTAAGGATGTAAAATATACAATACCCGTATTACTTGAAGCTTCTTATTTGCTATAAAACGAATAATTAGTCCTCATTGGAGTAGCCAAGTAGGCCTGAAGTAGGGTTGTTTAAGCTTAATTTTGATCCTGCATGAGTTTAGTTTACTTACCAAGGAATTAATGTGGTGGAGGGGTTGTACTGTGAAACAGTAATGCATGGGGAAGCTGTACGTGAGGTTGCTTCTCTATATTTTAGATATGCAGTAATATAACGGACTAAGCTTGTGGCGAACATAAGTATCCGAGTATTGTATACTTTTTTATATATTACCTCTATCCCAATTTAAATGTCATTTTTGGAGAATAGGAATTTTTAAGGGAACATGTGAGACATGCCTTGTCTTCCTGAAAAGTTACCAATTTGCCTTTCTAAGTTTTAAATATTTAAGTTTGAAATTTTAAACTCTAAGGACGTATCTGGAAAGATGTAAAATATATTTTTTGAAAAAGAAAAGTGATAATTATTTTGGGACAGACCAAAAAAAAAAGTATGACATGTTTTTTGGAATAGAAGGAGTATATTATTTTGGTTGAATTAGTACACGTAAAGAGATCTTAAGAATAATAAGTATTGGTTTGGTAAGATGGAGCACACGATCGACACAATGAGTTGTTAGCGTGCAAATCGTACATTAAGGTAATAAAAATTGGTTCCAGCACACAAATTAAAGCATGCAACAAACAGCATCTAGCTTTAATAATTGTAGCTGCCCTTTGCAATGAATATGACATGCTTGTTAGAATCTGTATTAAACAAGATTACTAATTGAATCGGAAAAGTGATAATTAAAGACGTACTTAAGTTTTGCTTTGAATGTGAAAAGAAAAGTAGTAGGACAGACAGATATTTCCTTTTCGGAAAAAAGAAAAGGCTTGGACTGATGATATTAATACATAAAAATATATACCAAGCTTCTTGTGAGAGAAAAGTTGAGATCCTTCTTAACGGAGGGTACCATCCCAAATTCAAATATATATATATATATAAATATATTATTTCATGTGTGTGCTTAAAAGCAAGAACTCGTTTTTTTTTTTTTTTCTTCTCTCTCTCTTAGCTAGTCTGCTTCTGGGATGTTTATTATGTAAGAACATCTTTAATGTTGATTCACTAATAAAGAAGTGTGGTTTGCAATATTAGAGCCATGGATATCGATCCCTTATATATGCACTATATAGTATATATAGATGGGTGTTTAACTTTGCAGCTATATATGTGAGCATTTGGTATAAAATTAAAATTTCAGATCTCCATGATGAGAGAATCATATCCTGGCGTTAATTCATCCTAAAAGGCTTTAATATCGAATCAGCTGCGTCGACAGCAATCCAACAAGTCCATCATCCGATAATTAATACTGTATGAAGCAAACTATGGCTACACATACGTGTAGTTTTGAATTTTTATGTTGAATGTTTAATGATCCATACGTGTCATATATGTTCTTTTGTTTTGTAGACATATATACATACATGTTATTGTGTAGTGAGTAGCAGCGTAACATGGTATCCAGCCAGGCACTATATGCTGTGTAGAGGCAATTGATGGTTTGAACAAATTTACGACAATATTGAAAAGGGTAAGGACTTGGAGCCCACAATACGACTTTTTTTTATTTTTTTTTATTTTTTTGGTGCAAGGCAAGAAAGTTAGTATGTTATAAGCTTGTTAGTTCGTTAATGGGAAGCCCCATAGTACTTGATCTCTCAACTACTCTGTATTTGTGTAAATCTTTCTTCTGTATTTGATCTCTCAAGTTGCATAATTTAAATCTTTCAACAAATGACTTCATTGTAATATTTGCGGTGAACAAAATTAATAAAATGAAAAAAAAAAAAAAAAAAAAAAAAACTAATAGTGCATCAAGATAACAAACCGAAAAAGTAAAAGTGTAGCAACGTTGATAATCAAGATATATTCAAATAGTATGTAATAATTCAAAAAAATAAAAGGTTTGATGTAAAAAAAATTCAGAAACATAAAAAACAGATGTTAACCATTTAACAATAGTTATTTTCTATTTTAACTAATAAAAAATAGCTATTTTCTATTTCTAATTTTTACTTCATATGAAGGAGAATCAGTATTGTTTCTTTATTATGGTGTATTTAAGTTATTTCCAAACAAAAACATGTTTGCTAAGGCTATTAATGAACTTAGATTTCTCACTAGCTTAGTGTTGAGCCTATCGGCCAAGAAATAATTTTGTGAGTCACAATTTGCAAAACAGATAACTATTTTGAAATAGAGGGGATATTACTTTTTCTTTACGCAATAATATTGTGGGAAAAATAAAGCTCATTCCATTTATATTGTTTTAACTAAATTTACGGGAAGAGACGATAAAATTATTTCCATATGTGCAAGGTGACTTAATTGTCAAAAGTTCAGGAAATTAAACATTGAAATTAACTCAGATGGTCTCAAATGAATCAACAAATAAGTAAAATTCGTTCCAACAAAAAGTAATTTAGTTATTATATTGCTGTAATTCTGTTTTGCCATTATTATATGTACTCGCCATTAATTTCAGGTTTAATGGACCACATGAAAGCTGGACTCAGCTATTGAGGTCGTGAAGAGCTTGCTGTAGTCTTGTTCGCCCATTTGATTTGCAGGGCAGTGGCTTAAAACCGCTATATTACTGCTGTTCCTCAATATATGTATATATATATATATGGTCATCCAAGTTTCGACGGATCAACCTTTCAAAAATAAAAAATAAATAAAATAAAAAATAAATGGATCAATTTGCTAAGTTAATTGGTATTTGTTTGTAAATGTGTGAAATTATTCTATATATATATATATATATATATATTTTTTTTTTTTTCTACTGGTTTACGTTTGGGGTGTTTAAAATGTAAGTGCATTTTTAATTATATTATACTTATAAAATTTGTCATTTCTTATTAAATTATCTTTATTATATTTTCTCTTATCTAAATATTAATCATGACATTTACCTTAATTCTATTATTGATATCAATTTAACAGTACAATAAGGAAAAAAAAACAATTACACGAAGTTGTAACTATCACAAAATTTAGCCATTTTCTAAAAAGACTAACTTAAAATTAAAACTTTACTATTTATAATAAAACTTTTATAACCAGTTTAAAATTATTTGAAAAAATACTTTTATTTTTTCTCAAACAATATATTGATGAAAAATTAATAAATTATTTAAATATATAAAAAAAAAACTTTCTTTTTCTAACAGTATATTCATGAAAAATGAAAAAATTACTTAAATTATTTTTAAATTCTCAAGTTAAATTTTTATTAAAATAATTAATTCTCATAATTAAAAATAAATTTATACAAATTTGATAGAGATTATGTCATCCACTTTGTTTTTTAGAATTAATTTTAATTAAAAAAATAAATTATGATCATTTAAAGAAAATAGCCCATCACATGATGGGCATGGGTGGGCACATTTGTTGAGTTATTTGCATAATTAAACTTAGTTTAATGAGTTTTTTTTTTTCAAAAAAAAAAAAAAAAAATTATACTTTACCCAATAAAATATACTCATTCTGTCTGAAAATAAGTGTTATGGTTTTTTTTTTTTTTTTGTCCCAAAATAAGTATCCTTTTTCCTTTTACAAACAATATATTTTACATTTTTTCATATATGCCCTTTTAATTTTGAATATTCAAATTTCTTTTCTTTTTCAAATAATAATATATTTTATATTTTTTCATATATGTCCTTTAAGTTTAAAATTTTATATTTGAATATTCAAAATTAAAAAGGTAGGTTAGTAATTTTTTAGGGAGATAATGCATGTCCTACATGCCCCTTAAAAATTATTCCTCCCCATAAACAACACTTAAATTAAAATGAAGGGAGTATAAAAAATACCGCTGGCATATTCGTTACTGGCAGTATTAGTCTGAGAAGAGGATTTTCAAATGCATAATTAGATACATCTTGCTCTAATCTAGAAGTTAATACTACCAATAAAGGAATCCCTTAGATCTATCTATTAGGCTAGCGCAAAAGCAGCACGTCCCCTTCACCTTCAAGCACCAAGGAGGTGTCGGTCACTTTTCACTTTATTCCAAACACCATAATATAAGCCCCTTGGCTATCCTAATAATAGAAAGAAAAGAAAAAAAAATTTAATTGATTTTTTAAACTAAATTAAACAGTGAAAGGAATTTTTATTCATTTAATGCATTTGGGATTATTCACTGCTACCCTCATCAATTTTGGAAAAAATAATCGCTTGCACATAAGTATATAAAAAGTTATTCACACCATGCATAGTAGTAATTATTAGATATGTATATATATACTCTTATATGATATGAGTAATCATGACAAGAATCGTGAGAAGACTTATTGTTTAATTAGTTTATTAAATAATTTAATTTAGTTATTAAATAAGAATAATTATAACTCTTAACATGAGAGGGGTTTATTTATATCATTACTCTATCATAATGTGTGAAAGAAAAAGAAAAAAAAAAAAAAAACTGAGTGGAGAGAAAATTACATATAATACCTACACACATAGACACACAATATTATGGACTATGTGATTGGTTCAATTGGAAAACGTTTCTGTAAAATAATAATAATTGAAAAACGTTGGAGCACTAGCGCCCACTTTGGAATTTTAAAAAATACCAAAGTTTTATTCTGTCTTGACCGTGGCGAGATTAGAAACTAATTAATGTCCCTCCTTAATAATATTTTTATCTGGATGTGTATATTTTTATACTGTAGGAGCAAATTACTAGCTAAAAACAAAAGACTATACAATTTTAGAAAAGGGAATGATATATATATATATATATTCACGTCTCACTTGTTTTCCACTTGCAGTCGTCCCTCTTTTTGTTCAACTCCAGTGTTCTTCCTTCTAATTTCTGCAGCTTGAATTGGGAAATTAGTGGAAGTGCGTCCAGCTGAGTCTATTAAGGAACAAGAATGGCAAAAATTGATGAGTTAAGCAACATTAATTGGGCAAAGAGCAGAAAAGAAATTGGGCAATCCAGTAGTAGTATTGAAATCAAAGAAGATGATTGGATAATATCCATAATGAAAGAGAGACCCAATGTTTCATCTTCAAACAAGCAGTATTTACCTAAGGTTCCAGCAGAATTAAGGAAGAAGGAGCAGAATAAGGGATTCTTTGATCCCACAATCCTGTCAATTGGTCCGTACCACCATGGCAAGCCAGAGGTGGAAGAAGCGGAGAAGTTGAAGACCAATGTGGCACGTACATTTATAGCTGAGAGCAACCGAGAACCCCATGAATTCTATAACAACATCCTAAAGGTGGTGAGCGATGCTAGGAAGTGCTACCTTCCAGGCTCAACAGATGCATACGACGACGAAGCATTCGCCCATATGATGTTCCTCGATGGTTGTTTTATTCTGCAGTACATTCTTGCCACCATGCAAGGTAGACAAGATTTTTTTGTAGAAATACGTGATCATATAGGGATAGCGGGTTGGAGTGCAATAACTGTGGACATTGTGTTGCTGGAAAACCAACTTCCTTTCCTAGTTCTCCAGGAATTGATTAACACAAAATTCGCAGAAGATCAAGGCAAATTAGGGGAGCAATTGATCGAGAATTACATTGTTATGGCGTACGGAAATAGCATCGAAATGTGGAGATTTAGGGAAAAAACTTATAAGCATGAGGGAGAACCACCCTTTCATCTCCTACAACTTATCAGGAAAAGATTTCTCGGCAGCCATCATCATCATCATCATCAGACAGAAGAAGTAATATTTAGCAGTGAGAAACTCCAGGATGGTCCTGCAGGTAAAGATGACCAACGTTGTTCCTTGAGAACAATATTTTCCTGCCGTTCCAGATCAAGAGGGCATGAGGAAACCAAGCCTAAGGACCCAATCAAGGATATTTTTAGTTACTCATTTCGTTCCGCCACAGAACTTAAAGCAAAGGGTATACATTTCAAGCCTAGCTCCACATCTTTTTTGAGCGACTTCACTTTCACTTCTCATTTTGGCTACGGAGTGCTCACACTCCCTCAACTCATATTTGGCTGGGGACGCAAGCACTTACTTCTAAACATGATGGCCTATGAATTGGCCCCCTCTGAGGTCACTGAAACTAAGGTATGCAATTACATATATTTTATGAATTCACTCATAAATGGAGCTGATGACGTGATGGAGTTGCGAACACACAACATCATTCATAACTTCTACGGCACTGATGAAGAAGTCGCAAAAGCATTCAACTCCATGGCTACAGGGTATTCATATCTTTCCTTCCAAGGCCCTATTAAAGATGTCAGTGACCGAATACAAGAGCATTACAGTAGCACCATGAAGACTTGGACCGCTCAACTATTGCATGACTATTTTACGAGTCCCTGGTCTGTTATTGCTTTCCTTGCCGCAACTTTCGCACTGCTCTTGACAGCCCTTCAAACATACTTCCAAATTTCTCCTCATTCTTCAAAGTAAAGGTAATTTCAAAGTTGTTTGTTTTTAATTGACACTTACTATAGCATCCTTCTTGTGTTATATTCAATGCACTTTTATTTTTCGAGTTTTCAAACACCACCTTTCTATTAGTGATCCTTTGGCATTTAATATATTCTACACTTGACTCTACACTTTAAAAAAAGTGTTGAGCCACGTCAACCACTATGCCGACGTGGTTTTACACTTATTTTGGAGATTATAAATTACTGTTATGCATTATTTTTAGCATTCTACATTTTATTATTATATTATTTTTAAAATTTTATTTATTAAAAAATAATTTTTTTTTTCCTAGTTAGAAAACTCACACACACTGCCTCTGTGAGGTTCGAACCCCTAACCTCCTTTTAGAAAATAGGAGCCTTGTACCGCTAGATCACAGGCCTGTTGGTAAATAAAATATTTTCTTTTTCAATTGTTTGTTTGTTTGTTTTTTATAACTATTCTCAACAACTATATTGATAATGGCTATAATTCTTTGCTTCGATTATATGTTTTGAAATTTAAAAAAATATATATATATATATATAAAACAATGATATTACATATATAAATAAAAAGTGTATTACATACCTTCGTACAGATAAAATAAAACAATATAATTCAGGAAAATATATATATTAATACTTCTTCACAGTGTAAAACAAATATATATTAGACATTAAAATTAATCACACATATACAATAAAACTTAAATAAATATATAACATATAATAACTATTTTACACACTACCATACACTATCAGGAGCGGAGCCAGTGTATGCTCAGAGGGGGCACGTGCCCCTCCTGGCTTGGCCCCGCTTATTATAATACATATACTAAATTTATATATTTTTACATATATAATATATAAAAAAATTTATATAATGCCCCCCCTGAAATTTTTATTTTCTAAAATAATTCTTAAATTTTATATTTCTTCTCTTTATTACTTATAAATTCCTTTAATTTTATTTTAAAAAAAGTCAAAATTTCCTTTTTGAATCAAACTCTAATTTTTTTTTTTTCCTTTCTAAACTCTCTAATTTTTCTTTTCTTTTCAAATTTTTTTTTTTTGTTAACTATTTATTTTTCTTAAATTAATCATTGATTGACATATTATTTTGAATAATTTTTCTTTTTTATCTCTTAATTTATAGAATTTATATTTATTATCATGATTATTGAATTTTTTTTTTTTTTTTTTAACGCCATGTCCCTTCTGTTTTTAATTTCTGACTTCGCCCTGCACACAATCACTCTTCCATTTAGAATTATTAACCAAACACAAGGCCCACTTTCAGACAATGTCAGTCCTACTATGTTATACAGATTTGGAGTATGAAGTGTAAAACTTTAAGTTGGCCCACAAGTGTATAATGTGCGCAACAAACCAACTCCATCGCTACAGAGTTGCATATTATCCAAATTGTGCTCGCGCTAGGGATGCTCTAAGGTATAGAAACTTATAAATTCTCTTCCTCTTAGAATTCATATGACCCCTTCCCTATGCAACTGCAAAAACATTCCAAGTTAATTTCTTCAACGAGCCAATTAGTGCCCCCCTCTATATTGATGTTGGCTACAGGCGTTTCACAACCTAAAAAACCTCAGAAATTTTTTGCGATGAATTGATTACAAATAACAAGCTGAAAATAAAGATATATATTGATACAAGCTTCTTTACAGTCAAACTCTTTTCGGTACTCACCTCACCTTTCTCCTAACTAAATACAAAAGCTATTTACAGTAGACTGTTAGGCGTGGAATCCAACCATGTTGAATCCGGAACATTATTACAGTACTAATCCGTATGGTGTACTCTAGTGATTAAGGGGGACAAATTATAAATTCGAAAGACCCAAGTTTAATTCTCACATGCATTATCCAAAATCACTTAGGTTTAAATGATACATGCAATTACATATAATTGTAAATATCTAAGATTTACCTTGCAATCATAAATTTTAAGAACAGATAGTTGGAGGTCACTACAGATGCTCCACTCTCCACTAAAGTTTCTCTCTACAACAATTTAACTTAATTACAGTGGCTCCCTAAAACAATTTTATTTAATTAAAGTGAATTTCTTCAATATTTTAGTTTATTAAAGTGGCTCTCTACAATACATTTACTTAATTAAAGTAGCTCTCTACGGTAATTTAACTTTATTAAAGCACCATTATATGGAAGTGATTTCCTCACATGGCTAAGAATGCATCTTCACTTCGTGTTATTTATTGTCATGTTCAAATTTGCAGTCGCTCTAGGAATCTTTTCCTGGAGCTGGGTTTTTTGTAGTATAATAGGTACAATGTAATAGAAAAAATTGGAAATAGAAATTCACGAGTGTTTATCAATTCTGCCAATTTTAGAATAAACTTCTTGGCATGATTCAATAGTCCTAGAATTCTTTGAAGCTGCTTAATTTATTTCTCATTTCTTTAGAAAAAGTTATATTTTCTTGGCATTTGGCAGCGTGATTAGTGTTCTCTAATTACTAATGCTTCTTTAAGTAAAAAAGAAAAAAATTGGATGAAAGCGAGAGAATAATGGATGGACGAGACCTCCGTAGAGAAAAGATTATATTATTCCCTTTTTTTATTCGATTGAATGGAAGAGAAGATAATAAGCTCACAATTTATTTGTTAAAGAAGGAATTTTAATTTAGAATAGTAATAATGTACTATGTTTGTATCATTTAGGATAATAATAATTTAAAACTGCTTAATAGTTACACTTGTCTTAACTCTTTTCTTCGCCCATATTTGGAGGGATGAAAATTTATGTTGAAAGAAGATGACTCATCCATCTTATTATCCTTTCTCTCTCTCTGTCCTCATTACCAGACGAATGAAATTTGTTCATTCCTATATATTTTTCCTCCACACATCTTCCTTCATTCCTACCTAACAAAACATAATACATTAATGGGACAACTTATTGGTATAATTATTTACACTTGATTAATAATTAGTAATGTGATCATTTTAAACTTACGTAATTATTAATTATTGTCCCTAATTATGTATTATTGTGCAGTTCACATTGTAACTTTATAATTTTGTTAATTCATTCCCCCAACTAGATATTTCTGCATGTATTTTTCCCATTAATGTATTATGGGCTCATCATTGCAGGTTTAATGGACCAAGTGAGAGTTGGGCTCACCCAACCTGTACTACTGCTGTTCCTCAACATGTATAGAGAGAGGTTCATCCAAGTTTCTACGTATTTTATTTGTGTGTGTTTAATTATTTGTGTGTTTGAATGTGAGAACTCACTTCTATGTGTAATTTTTTTTTTCTCTATTGGTTTGCTTTTGGGATGTTTAAATGTGATTGCGTTTTTAAAGATGATTGAATAAAGAAGTGTGTGTTGCAGTACGAGAGCTATATACTTTGTGCCCTATATTTTTGCAGCTCGGAATGCATTTTGGTATCAAAATTGGTCGGCATCCAATATATATATATTTGGTAAGTAAAACCTTATTATATCTTGCTAAATCATTACATTTTTATTTCTATAAATTTCATGAAATCTTTGCAAGTATTCATTTATTTGACCAAAACATGAGTCATGTGCTTTTTGGGTAGGAAATGACTTAATTAATTTTCTGGGGAAAAAAAATTTGTTTGAGGATCTCCGGAATTGGTTATATCCATTTTGACCCCCAATGGTTTTTTGAATTTGAAATGATATTGGCAGAGTTAGAACTGGGGGTGGGCCTTAGGCCTTTAACATCTTTTGGGTTCGGATGAACTAGGCCTGCCTTGTTACAAGCTGTCTGGTTCTTCTGTTCCCCTTTTGGGTTGATGTGTCTTTTGTTCTATTGCCCAATCACATACATTACAATTTTTTTTTTTTTTTTTGGTGCAATTTTTATGTGTTTTGAACAGTTTTTCTTGCCAAGAGATACACACCCCCAATCTGTCTCAACAAGAATTTGAACCCTCAACTTTTTCTTTTAGGAGATTAAAAGTACCACTAAGTTAATTTCTTGCAGTTGATTATATTTGATTTAAATTTCTAAAAAATTATATTTTTATATATATATATATATATATATAAAAGGTCACTTAAGCCCTTGAGGAAAAGAAGAAACAAAGAAAGATTGAACAAAGTCGTGGAAATTAGGAGCTCGGCCTGCCACACCAACGGCCAAAAAAAAAAAAAAAAAAGGTCGTGGAAATTAGGACTAATGGTGTTTATATATGATACAATAACAATATATGTCAGGTTTGTTGTGAGAGAAAAGTTTATGAGATCCTTCCTAACAGTACCATCCAAAAAATACAGTAATATATTTACAGATCTTTAGTTTTTCCAAACATGCAATTAGAAGGTGGTCAATCCAGTTCTACTGCTAAAGGGTGCAGTACTACCCCAATTGTGTGCCTGATGATCAGCCTAACTGAATCAAAGATGATGAAGATGATTGGTCATAATTGCTGCAGATCGATCAGAGACGTCTGTCAGGACTCTCCAATTGATGAGAACGAAATTATAATGGCCAAGGTGTTAGGATTTATATGCCCTGGCATAGCAAATTCCTATCTGGATTGTATTGACATATGTTCCTGACATATCTGAAATATTTATGATTTATATAATTGGTGAATTCAATGTATTATGTTTCAATTCACTATGAAATTGATAGTGTCCAGTTAATTACAAGAAATATTTATATATATGTATGTGATGACAATCAATGCATGATATATAAATAGTAATTATAAATTGTTCATAGTCGGTAATTATGGATGGACTCATAATTAATTAAGACTTGAACTGGATTCGCGTTAGGTTGAGATATATTGCGAGAGCCGTCGTATGCAATTACTCCCTATCACCGTCATGGCATTTGACTCTTAAGCATGAGAAAAGTATAGACTCTTTTATTAATTAATAATTACTTTGATTTGTTCGGCGGATTCTTCGGGATCCTTAGACCGACACTTTGGGTAGTTATGTAATTAATAGTTAGAGGGTTATATTTTCAATATTTGCATCATTGCTACTTGTATTTATTTTGTATTGATTATGGTTGATCACAAAGTAAATTCGAAGGCCTTCGTGTGTTTTTAGACAAAATGATTTATTATATATTTATTTATTTAAATTATTATTTTTGTCAAACAAATGTTTTATTGTGATCGAGTCAGAAATAATCAAAGGTACCAAAATAAATATATTAATTAAGTAGTCGGATTGATGGCTATATTTATCCGATAACTAATTATGCATAGAGGGGTCAAAGTGCAATATTGACTTAGAGGTTATTTATTATTTAATTGGAGTTCAATTAATTTCTTTTAGTGGAGTAGAAATTAATTTATGAATTAATTGAATTGGGTCCATGGACCGGGCCAATTATTAATTCATTGTAGCCAATAAAATAATAGGCCCAATGGATTCTCACTCATAGCCCAACTTGATATTGGAATCATATTAGATTTGAGACATATGAATTAGAGATGGAGAATGATTTGTTGTTTCCTTTTCTTTATTTTTATGTTGCCTATAAATATACATGGTCTATGTATATTTTAGGGTGTGATTTTTATGAGAAGGAAAAAGGAATAAATTTTCTCTCTCTAGAAAATTAGGGTTTATGTTCTCATCTAATGGAGGCTCCCACAAGCCTAGTTTTCCAAGGTCATTCATGGAGGCATATGAGTGATTCCTAAAGGCAAAACAATTACCAAGAAGATGGAGATCCAAGGAGAATGCATCTAGCAAAAGGGATCTACAATAAGTGAGAACATTCACTTTAGAGGAGAGATCTGAGGTTTACTCAAACCTTGATGTAAGTATTCAATCTTTTAGTTGAATAATATATCATATTTTATTTTATTTTTTGCATAAAACTTGTCTCTATGTGATGAATCAAGATCTATGAATTTAAATCCCTCGAAAAGTTTTTAAAACTAGCACGTTTCCCAACAGTGGTATCAGAGCATGGTTTGATTCATTACTAGAGATCATGATTTTATGAAAATCATCATTCATGGATCCAAAATTATATTCATATATATTTTTATTGATGTATGTTGATGTATGATTTAATATGTTGATATATATTGATACATAATGATGTATGAATAATTGTGAATGAATGATGATGTATGGTTGGGCCATGGATGAAGCTTACAGGAATATTACATGTAATTTTATCTTTGGATGAATGTAATTAAGGCTTTGATTTAGCAGTTTGAAAGTTCAATGATGTAATTTATTTTTCCCATTGTATTTCAAGTTGTAAATATTTTTAAAGCCATGTAATATTCATCAAAGGATGCTATGAAGCTTCAAGAAGGTCCAAGAGGGTTAAATTAGGCTTCAGAAATTTTCTGGGATTTTTTAGCAATTTTTCGAAATTTTTCTGGAATTTTTTAAGGCCTAATTTAATTTCTGGAAATTTTTATTAATTTTTCTGGATTTTTCGGCGTTTTTCCGGTGGCCGGAGCTTCGCCGGCGGCGAGAAGGGGCGTCGGAGGTGGCCCGGATCAGGTGTGGCGTCAAGGAGGTGAGCCTGGCGCGTGTTCCACACGCGCCAGGAGAGTGCACATGCTGGCGCGTGCATTGCACGCGCCAGCCAAGGGAGCTTGAACTCCACGCGCGTGAAGGCGCGTGGAGGCGCGTCCCACGCGCCCCAGGCGCGTGGGAGCGCGTGAGTGTGCATTCCACGCGCCCCAGGCGCGTGCCGGCGCGTGGGAGCACGTGCAGCTTGCCCTAGGCGCGTGCCAGCGCGTGTGAGGTCCTCCGGGCTCGTTTCAAGCGGCGTTTTGCTTCTCCTGACGCGTACAAGCTTCCTATGGGTGTTTACAGACAGTTGAAGGATGCCCGTACAGCAAGAATAGGTTTTAAATGTTAAAAGCTGAATCCATTGGCCATTTAATTTGCTTTATCTGTCATTTATTGTTGTATGTGATGCATGAAATAATTAATTGCTAATTATTATTGTTCATGCATTGGATCCATGATATTTATTTAAATGGCTTGATTTATATTAATTAAATTATGAAAATTAATTGGATTAGATTACTAATTAATTTGAGGGCACTTATTGGGAAACGAAAAATTGTTTTTGTAAATTATTTTTAAAGTGTGCTTCAAATTAAATATTAGTGAATCGTTTAAAGTCCAAATATTTTCTAAATTTAATTGGATTAAAATCAAGACGTTTTGCATGCATTATATCATGTAAATGAATAAAATGAAAACCCTAATTATGAATGATTAAAAATTGAGTGGGAGCGGGGATTTTTATACATTGCCCCATGGCCTTCGTTATTAAAACCATTGTAATTAGATCTTCAAAAATAAGGCCCCACGCATGATTTGAAGAGTCTTAATATTACAAGAATGGTTGTCTCATGAAAATAAAAATATTAAATGTTCATTGTAATTAGATCTTTAAAAATAAGGCCCTACGCATGATTTAAAGAGTCTAGATTATAATGACAACATATTTAATGTTTTATTTTTCATTAGAGCATTAATAATGTTATACACTCAATCTAAAATCAATAGTGTTAGCTCCCCAACGGAGTGGTCTACACTAGGTGATTTTAGAAAGGCTAAACATAATCGGGAGTCATTTCATATAGATAGACAAGGCATTGTCTTAAGAGATATGGAGATGATGGGATTTGCCCGCCAATAGCAATAATGAACTTCGCCAACCGAATAAGTTATTGGTGTATTGGTTATCCGATTTTTCATGCAGTGGTTAAGGGACCCACATATTATTATTTTAATGGAAGTGCTCACCTAATAGTAAATGAATCTCAACAATAGTAATAATGAACTCCTCCAACAGGATAAGTTATTGACATATTGATTGGTTGATTTATTATGCTACAGAGTTGAGGGACCCGCATTAATTAAAAGGGATTGTTCACCAATAATGATAATGATCTCTTGTTCAATTGAGATTTATTATATTATGTGGTTAACAAACTCATTTTAATTTTAAATATGCATGACAGTATTAATAATTCACCTTGCATATTGTATGAATGCATTTATATTCAGATTAATTATGTTTAATCCAGTTTATCTGCTTGCTTACATATTCAATGTAACTGGACTTCATTAATATTGACTGGGAAAGGAAGTTAGATATTTTATTCACAACGTAAGGGTACAAATGTATTTACTACTCCTAAACCTACTCCTTTTACTTTAAGATACCCAAGAGAACATTAATGCTTTGAATAAGTGAAATAAGGCAAATGAGATGACTTGGTGCAATATTCTAGAGTTTACCTCGAATACGCTCCAAAGCTAACATTTACATTATTTTATTTTCTTCAAGCATCATGTTAAAATTTTAATAAGATGTTTTGGTGAGATTAGATAGAGAGTATGCCAAAGTACT